TAACTACAGGGGAGTCACGCCCTTATTCACCAGCTGTATTAAAAAGTGTTACCATTTTTCCCTCTCCTGTAGTCTCGAGGAACTGTGAATAAACTACGATGTGTATCTGTAACAGTATCTGCTCCAAAGATGTTAATAGTGCACTGAGTACAAATAGACAAGCCAGTATTGCATCTGTTTGATGTTTTTATTCACCAACTAAACAGGTGAACTTTCAGTTAGATAAAAACTTTAAAAATACATAGAAAGTTTTTTAAAAAGTGGTGAAAAAGATCTACGTTGCAATGGAAAAATAATCTTTTTAGTTCATGATGTAAAATACTACTAGTACCCCCAACTATTAAACTTTTCATGATTGTGCATCAAGGTAAAACGTAAACACAGCCCTTCCAGCATTTCAGCTGGTGCAGCTCCAGCTCCCGGTCAATCCTCTCAGGAATGTGCAGAGAGGTCCACCAGACGGAAAGCCTCCATGAACTCATTAATATCGATGCTTCCGTCCTTGTTAAAATCGATGCTCTGGGCCAGGTTTGCAATGACATCATCACTGATCTCTGTCTTGAGATGAGAGCTCAGGAGTTTCCAGGTTTGGCGAAATTCCTCGTAAGAGATCAAACCTTTAGGAGGGATGTGGAGGGAGAGGAAAATTCACAAACCTGTGCTATATTGTGTTGGTGACCTTGGAGCTGATCTCAGAAGGTCTTTCACCCATTCACAGAAATAACAGAGCATATAAAAAAAACCCAGTCAAGCTGAGTAGTAGGACACGGGTCCAACACTGCTTATAAACACTAAAACTGAGAGTTTGGTTGTTAACTAACCTGAGTGATCTGTGTCTATGATCCGAAAGATAGTTTCCAGGTTGGAGTGGTTTTTGTACATCGTCTCCAGTAGGCTGGTATCTGATATCTGTCAGGACAAGATGCATGTTTTGTATTTTGGGGTGCCATACATTTTTCATGGTTTTACAGCTCTGAGCAGAAGGGAAGTAAGTTAAGAACAAATGAGTCACCTCTAGTTTGGGCTCAGTGATGGAGAGCTCCTTCATCCACTCCTGGTAGTCCACCATACCATTCTTGGTGCTGCTTACAAGCTGTGGGCGCAGCACTCTCCAAGGCAAACCCAGCTTCAGCACGCTCTCTGTGGCACTTGCCCAGTGACTTGGAGAGATTATCCCTACGAAAAGATGGGAAGAATGACGAGCCCTCACACTCTCATATGCTGCCGTTATGTGTTTTATGTTCTGAAAATTCTGAATGCTATTTAGTGTAAAGCAGTTACAGCTAACCTGTGTTGTTAGGATCAAACTCTCGGAAGGCACTGATGAGATCTGACTTGTGTACGAACAGCTGTCGCCTGAGAGCTTGTAGAGCTGATCTCTCCGTCCAGCCAACACTGCCGAAAAGCCAAGAAGGAAAAGAAAATCCTCAGGGATTTCACATTTATTAAAACAATGTGTACAGCCATCTTCAGCAAAGGTTTTCACTTGATTTTCCACTTTTCTTCCAACTCAAAAGAACTTTTTGTCAGAAAATCTCATGAAAAACTCTTTGAATTGTTAATGTTAAAATAATGCTTGACTATTTCTCTGTGCTCCTTTACCTTTGTCTCAGTGTGAGCTCTCTGCAAGTCCTGCTGGCCTGATACTGAACAAAGTGAGGGACCAGATCAGCTCCCATTCTTATATAGGCTCCTCTATTGCTGCCCACCTCGTAGTAATTTGAAGCCGAAAAAATTGTTAGTACCTGGATACAAGAGAAGAGATGATGGGGAAAAATAAAGGTTTCTTCTGTCACTCAGAAACCTGTGCTTTATGTGCTCACCCTGCGGTTGTGGCAGAACTCATAGCCATCCTGTTTGCATTCATGGGAGCGGATGAGGAGCTGCAGGTTGTGTCTTCCGAGAACCTCCTCCGTGACATCTGGGCCCCAGTAGCAGCCTCCCCCTCTCACTTCATTGGGAATGCAGCCATTTTGGGGCATAGGATCACTCCACAACAGGTCTACCATCTGGACAGAGGGTATCAATGAACTGTATGAGCACTCTGAAGAATTGGTCTATGTTTGACGATCCTCACTACCACTTACTTGTTCCCACTCGTGCTCGTAGGTCTCTGTTCCTTCTTCACACTCTGGGTCTGAGTCAGAGTCTGGCTTCTTCCTTTCTCCATACGACTGGTCAAACCCAGCCAACCTACGTCTTTTCTTCAGCTCGTCATCCACAGACCAGTTCATGTGCTGATGGCTGGTGTGGAGGTTATGCAGTGAACGTCGTGGGAGGCCTTGAGGTGGGGTTGAGCTGTGGTGAGTCAGAGATCGCACCCGACGTCGAAAGTCCACTGGAACGCCGGCGTCTCCGTTCCTTCTGTTCGTTGTCTGGCTGTTGCTGCCGTTCACGGCTAGCTTAGTCATCTTTGGAGGTCTGAGGGTTGACGCATACTGTGCATGTTGAAAAAACAAAACACAGATGAAGTATGCAGACATTTCTGTTTTCTTAGAACAAAATTCAACTTAAAACACAAAGAACTGAAAGTGAAAGGTCTTTCTTACTTTGTGTCTGTCCACTCTGGCTATTACGTTCAGGTCTGTTGTGTCAGAGATCCCTCCATGCGCAATCAGCACCTTGTGATCAATCACAGTAGCCAGAGGTAGCCAGCTGAAGATCTTTTGGAGAAGCTTAAGGATCTTCTTGCCGTGCACCTGCAGATCAAGTCATCTTTATCATACCTTGTATATAGTCACGGTCATTATTATCATAATCCATCCTCTTCTGCAGGGCTAACACAAACATAGATATAGACAAATATTCACTCCTAAGGTCAATTTTTTTCTGGCAGTAACTTTTTTTTACAGATGTAAAAACAGTAAAATTCAATGCATGTTTAAAAAAATACTTGAAAGTTCCTTCTTTTTAATATTGTACATTCTAATGTATTTTTATGCATTTAGGGTTTTTTTTATATTATTTGTTTATTTGTTTACTGTTTGGGTGTCAAACTGAATGCTAATATTAAAGTAAGTTTAAGCCTTACCCTATATTTTCCCAAAACTTCTTTAGTAAAGCCATATCTGGGAAAACACACAATGAATGACAAAATTAGTAAACACATCACATGTTGGATCGATATAAAAATGATTTCTTTAAGCTAGACTATGACTGCACTCTGACTGAAGATGTAAAACAAAACAACAGAAAGAAAAAATGAGAGCGAGATTGAGAGAAGGAAGAGTTCTGAAGACTGGCTTACCTTAGGTTAACAATGTGGTCCTCATGGTTCCCTCTGTTTAAATGAACATCATTGGGGTAGACTAGCAGGAACCCAAACAGGATGAGCAGAATCTCCAAGGAGTTTTTGCCACGATCCACAAAGTCCCCATTGAACACATACGGTTTCTCAGTAGATGGCAAACCATTCTGGACAGTTTTAAGAGGAAAGTTTGATCAAATTGAACATCTATGAGTGGCAAGCCTGTTTGAAATGTGTGGATTGTGTAGCCTAGCCTACTTTATAGAATATCAATAGCAGATCTTCTAGCTGCCCATGGAGGTCTCCTGGAAAAGAAAACAGAAAACCAGTTTATGTCATCATATGACTGCTGTGACTACAATAGACTGAAACTGACAAAAATAATCAAATAAATCATGTGGTAATGATCATATCAACAAAAACAATACAAACTATAAATATGAGGTTTAATTATTTATAAAGCGTTACATAAATCAATATATCTGTAGGTGTTTGCCACCATAATAATTTATCCATCAAATAATTTCACAATTTGTCTTACTTTCCCATTTTATTTTATTTTGTTACACATTTTCTTATATTTCTTCCCAGGGCATATTTATTTGTTTAATTTGTCGCAGAAAGTCACGTCACATTTATTTTTTGTTTCATTGTGCAAAAAAAAGACAATAACAACAAAGCAAATAGGTAAGTAATTAATTAAATAAAAAATAAAATAACATGGAAAAATAAATGGAACTGAAAAGTAAAGCTACAAACCAATAATAACAAATAATACTTAGTATGTATTATTCTTGATTTTGATTTTGATTTTGACGGTTTCAGTCCTCCATAGCTGGGTGCATGCTCAAATAGTAAGAAATAAAAAGGGCACAGTTTGGGGATCAAATCTAGGAAAGGCCTGTTGTGTACCACATATTGTAATCTCCTTGGTGTGACAGGAGGAAAGATGACTGATGTTTGGAAGAATTCTTAGAAGTCTCCAAGTCTCCCCAAGAATCTGCAGAACATATCGTGCATGGAGCTGCTACTGGGGGAAAGAAATCATGTATGAATAATCCGAGTGTGGAAGAATAAGGCAAAAAAGACTATATCTGCCTCCACTGTGCCTACTGTGCCGCTGTACCTACTTGCTTGTGCTTAAAAGCCTCGACAAGCTTTGACACTCCGCAGAACGTCATGGGGAAGGTCAAGTGGGGCCCCGTGTAGCTGTCTGGTACATCTATGCTCTTGTAGCAAAAATATCTTTCCCATTCTACATCACGGCAGATTTCGTTCTCACGAAAGATGTGAGAAATTAGATTTCCTTCATTAGAGACAGAGGAGAAAAGAAACGGACGTGGATCAGTGCAGTGAGGAAAAGCTACTTTCGTGCTTCTCAGCAGGGAGCAGGCTGGGTGAGCTCGGATTAGTTCACTGCCTGTAATCTAATGAAACCTATAATACCGCGAATGAAACTGTGTGTGATAAGAGTCACTGTCTTACTTTCACTGCTGGCTGGGGTGAAGTGGTCCATCAAGAAGCCAAAAAAACTGTACAGCTGCAGGAAGTGAAAAAAGTAACCATAAAAATGACAGTTTGTGAAATCATACAACTAGTCCGGTAAAACTGTGCTTAAGCAGAGTGGACACCGGACCCCTTGTCAGTGCAGGTATCATAGTTAGCTGATACTGATGTCATGTTTTCAGATGTCTGTTATTCATATATCAAAGTATAGGACACATTAAAATTATGACCTATGGCTAAAAGAAAAGTGAAAATAAAAATAGCATGGCAGACAATTAGTGTCTGTATTAAATTCAATAGTAGAAAGCGATGTGATGACCTGTCTTATAGTTAAAGCAAATATGTCAGCTTCATAGTGATGCTATCCAAAACGGGCAATACATCCACTAGCTGTGCAGGTATTCCAGTCTCTACCAGAAAATTGCATGACCAACATTATAAAACACCGGAAGATGGCTAAAAATTACTTTCATAATGCATATATGACACCGACTTACAGTAATTGCGTGAGCTCACCTTGATCTGATCTTGCTGTCCTGCATATTCAATAGACTGGAAGATGTTCCACGTGCACCTGCGTCTGATCTCCAGCCGGGCAACATACTGCCGATACCAGCGCTGAATCAACAGAGCCGCTCTGATTGCTGAAGATTTGGAGAGAAACAACAAAGCACTCATCTTCCATTACCAGTACTTTTACACTCTTACTCAGATCCAGGTTGAAACACTTACCAGTGGCAGCTTTACCGCATGCATAAAAGTGGGGTTACATTTACAAAAGTTAAACTTACTGAGAATTTTTCCAGAGAATAGTTTGAACTATACACTATGAAAGGTACAGCTGATGAAGTAAATAAACTTACCTGGGACTGAGAGGCTCACTAAAATGGGAGAAGACACTGAGTTGTAGTTTTACAATTTCAAAAAAGCATTTCTTTAAAGAAGAAAAAAATTGGAAAGTAGCTGCACCTCTGTCACATTTCTTCTGCTGTACTTCTGATTTTCTCAGGCCACAGCCCATGGCCTCTTTGCTGTTGTCACTGTCAGAAACAAAGACAAAGATACTTTCACGCAGAAGTCTGAAATTTCTGAGCTTGTGTTTTGCAACCTGGGAATAGTGCAATAATAGATCTCTAGATACAAAATAACATGCTATACTTATTTTTACAGTTTAACTGACACTTGATTTATGAAATGTTCCCAATAAATCCAAAACAGCATTCACAACACAAGTAACGTAAATGTAAATAACTTGGAAAAACAAATTATTCCTTAAAATGACCGAATTCATGATGTTAACCATTAACAGAATAAGAACCTTGGCATTTAATATTAATATAAAAATGAAGAATACATAGCAAAATCCAAACAAAAGCCCACACTGAACATTAATAACTTACCTGGCAACGTCCCCTTCCGTTCATTACCTCCTCTCTTACACCTTATAAAAAGTAAAAGGAAAAAAGTATAGGTTATAACTTTATGACTATTTTGTTTCCCTTGTGTAGCAGCATGGGAAACCGCACGTCCTCTCTCCACAGCTACAGCACCCCAGCCATCACAACAACACACCAGCAAGTGTCTCAGACAGGCTCCTGTGATTGCTTAAACAAAACAAGATGCAAGTGGATTAGGATTAAACCTTACTACAGCTGGCATCTGCGCTGAATAAACAGATGACAGCTCTAATAAAGGGCAGCAAGTGTTTTGAAAGGAGGCTTAGCTGCAGTAAATACAGATTTATTCATGAATGAAGTTACAAGTACAGCACAGCATGTACTCTAATTTGCTCTCTTTCTGTTCCTTCAGTAAGGTTTTGCTCACACCTCAGTGTTTCCAGGCCTCTCACCCTGAAAGAAAACGTTTTTTCATTTTAGTTTTGTAACACTATTAATGTCTCTCAGGTGCTTCATAGTATGACTGGCAGCAAGACTATTGGATTGCATAACATTGTTGCACCTTTATTAAGTGCCACCTGCAATGCATTTCACATGTTGTTGCGTTTTGATACAGTTTACTGTACTAATATTTGTCTTTATTAAAATGCTACCACTGAAGTTTCCCCGTCTTGCTGTGTTAAATGCTGCCACACCTCCCGTGCCCTGTTAAGCACCAATGAAAATTGTTCATTGAACTCAGCTTGTTTTCAGCGTCCTCAAGAAAGTCGTCTGTGATGTCTGCTTCTAAACGTTTGTCCGTGTATAAAGTCTCTGTGTGATCCCAGCCAGCAGCACCTGTTGGTGCTGTGACTTTCTACAACGAGGAAGTGGTGGGAGACGTCTGCTACTCAAGGACTCTCATTCATACATAGCTGCAAGCTGTCTAAAGCTGGAGAATCCCACAGTGACACACACACGCCCACCATCAGTGCGCTGGACTTATTACTCACACTTTGGGGAAATGGTTGACTAAATGGTTGAAGGCTAAAACAAGGGCAACTACAGAGCACACTAGTCCGCGAACACACGGAAAAATCCATTACTGAGAGATGTTACAAAGAAGAACAAAAAGGGGGTGACACACCAGGCACGAGACTGGATGCGCCGCCATGTGGCAATACACTGCGTTACAACAGCAACTGTTACAACACCCACACACAGAGCAACAAGCACACAAAAGAGAGAAAGCAAAGGGGGAGAGAGAGAAATGGCAGAGACCCACAGGAGGACTGGAGCTCCATGACTATTCACCACCCAAAAACCAAAAATGGCTATGTCCATCCTTTATATACAGTCTTCTACACCCCAAAAAACTGCACGTGTCGTGTAAAATCACTTTTCTCTGTCTTTTGGCTTCCTTCTCATTAATTCGCCTCTTGATGTCTCAAAAGTGTCCTGTGACCATTTGATGAGTCTGATCTCCATGCCAGATACCACTGGATTAAAATCATTCAAGTAAGCTGAATGTAAAAACTAGCATACAAAAATGCTTCTCGTGTATTTTCAGTCTGAAGTTGTTCATATTACAGATTTTCTTTAAAAAAAAAAAAAAAGCACTACATCAGACTTCATCTGCACAGAAAGTACTTGTTTGCACATGTTTATATTTAATTACTGGTTTAGGGTTTCCAAAGGGTTGGATGACATTAACAGATTTATATAGAATAGCATTACATAACTATGTTTTGTGTGTGTGCATGCGTGTGTGTTTGTGTGTGTGTGTGTTTGTGTGTGTGTGTGTGTTTTTGCATGTGGTAACAATATACAAATTAAAGCATTCCAGCCCTGAGAGGCTGATTCATGGAAAATTTAAGACCTGAGGTTAAGATCTTTGCAGTGTTGTTGAGACCCATACAGCATCTTACGCAAGACTATTTTCCATATGTGAATTATGTGGGTCTAGAAGGCTCTAAAATATTATTGTAATAATATGAAGCAGTTACATTCTGACAGAAGTATTTGTACTTTTACATAAGCAAAGTAGACCTACAATATGTTCATAATTAAACCTTTTCAAAAAATAAGTGTTTAAATAAATTATGTTCACAGACCTTTGGTAACATTGTGTCAATTTGCCCCAACAAATTAAAATACTATATTCTGTAAGCTTATCACATTATTTTGATCACAATATGACTTTCTATTTTGAAATTAAATTTAAGAAAAAAATAGTACAAGATACTGAAGAATAGAGAAGGGGTATCTTTCTGGTAGTACAACCCTGAGTGAATGTATAATATTTTCCAAAACTGTGAACTGAGGTAAAAACACATATTTCTTTTCCATATAATACATAGATATTTACATGCATACATACATGTAAATATATTGAACAGACAGCCATTTAACTTTGTGCTGGTCTTTATCTAAGGTGAAAGACAGACTTGTTATATCACCTCCAAAGGAAAGTATTGCAAGCAACAGCTTGCAGCATGAATTCCTTTGGCAGCGTGGAAGAATTCTTGTTTGGTATCCGCAGGCTGCAGATAAGAGAACCAATTTGGCCTCATGAGAAAGTTTGGCTGCTGCAAATTTAGTTGTTAGTTGAGGAATCTGAAGAGACGGAGGTCAGCTAAGGATGCAGAACTTGTAGCTGCCATTCCATACAAGTCTGTGGCCTCGCATGACCCACAGAACTGTGAAAGGGTTTTTTTTTCAGATATTAACATCACCTGCAGCAATCATTGTTGCTTTGTATTACATTTCTTCCCTCAGGATCCTGTCCTTGAAAAACAGCTGCAGAGAAATAATATCGTTCTTTGTTTATCTGGGGAGATTTCCACCTTTCATGTGATGCCCGAAAATGTGAGGTGTGATACAAACTGATAATCACCCATATGCAGAAATAAATGCTAGTTTGTTGCAGTTTGTTGAAACCAACTGTATTTTTCCCATGATTATAAACTGGGGTCTGTCGATGGGTCATCCGTTGCCGTCTTTCACTGTTCAAACCCAAATGTGTAGTGCAAAAAAAACCCAAAACACATATATGATATAAATGGTTTATTCAAAGAGTTTTAGTCAGGTTTTGAACCTCATCACAGTACAGAAACAGTGTCAGGAAAGGTTACAAGTGATCTTATGGCCTCGGGCATTACTTATTTCTGGTACTGTCCTACTAGACTTCAGTGCAGCAGTTGATACTGATGACCACACTATTTTATTACAGACATTAGAGCATGCCTTGGGAATTAAAGTTACTGCAGAGTAGTGGTTTGAATCATATCTATCAAATAGACTCCCGTTTGTTTATGTAAATGAGGCATCTTCTTCACACACAAATGTTAGTTATGGAGTTCCAGATAAACACACACAGCAGTTAAACTGCAGGAATGTCCTAAAGACATAAAGATTGGGATGACGTCTATTTTTAGTTTCTAAATTCAAATGAAAGG